GGAGATAATAACATGCACAAAAACACGACAGAGCAGAACCAAGCAACAATGTACAACAAAACAGCAACAACAACAAATCACTGATAAAGAACAAATTAAAACACAACAAGAAAGAAAAACTTGCAGTTAGTTCGAGGATTGTTGCTGGCCCCTCTTATAAATATGAAAGGTTTAAAAAAGTTCTCGGGGGGGAGGAATTAAATGGAACATTTGTGGTAAAAATTTCCCACATGTTTTTGAAGCTTTCTTGTAATATTGATTACAAACTTTCACGAATTCAACGTATTACAAATATACAACTATTGACAGGAATTAACATTAAATGGTTCTGTAACCTTACCTTCACTCATTGTAATTTTTTTCATTGCAACAAAGAAACACTGCATGTTCCTGTGCCATCCTCACAATTTTCATGTTTCTGTCCATTGTTGAAGCCACCATGTCAATCCAGCTGATCAAGGATCTTCTTTTTTGCTATTCCTCCATCTTACCAAACATGATGTCCTTTTCCAGGGACCAGTCTCTCAGTATAACATGTCCAAAGTATGTGAGACAAAGTCTTGCTACATTTAACCTCTTAGGAGCATTCTGGCTGGACTTCGTCCATGACAAGTTCTTTTATCAGTCCATGGGACTTTAAATAGTGTTTGCCAGCATCACAGTTCAAATGCATCTATTCTTCTTCAGTCTTCCCTGTTCAGTGCCCAACTTTCACATGCATGTGAGGCAATGGAAAATTCCATGACTTGGGCCATCATACTTTAGTCTTTGAAATGATATCCTTGCTTTTTAACACTTTAAAGAGGTTGTGCGGGAGATTTACCCAATACAATGTGTCATTTGTTCTCTTATCTGCTACTTCCATGAGAATCAATTGTGACTCTGAGTGTGATGAAATCCTTGACAATTTCTTCTTTTCTCCATTTATCACGATGTAACCTAGCGGTCCAGTTGCGAGGATCTTGGTTTTCTTTACATTGAGTTCTAATCCATATTGAACGCTGCAATCCTGATCGAACGCTTGGTAACTACTAATGTAATTTGCATTTTGTATATTTACCTCTTTAAGAGTACTTTTAATTTATAGTCATTTTATTGGGGGCACTTACAGCTCTTATAACAATCTATATACTAATTATATCAAACATTTGTACATTATGTAGCCATCATTTTTTAAACATTTACTTTCTATTTCAACCCTTGGTATCAGTTCCTCTTTTTTCCTTTCCTTTCCCCTCCCACCCTCATGAACCCTTGATAAATTATAAATTATTACTATTTTCATATCTTACACCATCCACTGTCTCCCTTCACCCACGTTTCTGTTGTTCATCCCTATGGGGGGGGTGTCTTGTTATGGGTTGATCATTGCGTTTGTTTCCCCCTTCCTTACCCTTCAGCTTCCCCATACCCTCCTGGTTTCGATACTCCCCATTTCTGGTCCTAAGCGGTTTATTTGACTTGGATTCCGTGTGTTGTGAGCTCTTACCTGTACCAGTGTACAGGCTCCAGTCTAGCCCCAGTTGAAGGCAGGACTGGGATCATTATGATAATGGGGAGTGTAAGGAAGCCTTCAGGAACCAAAGGAATATTGTGTGTTTGTTCGGTGCTTTACTGTGCCCTGGTTGACTCATGCCTTCCTTTTGATCCTTCTGTGAAGAGGATCCCATTGTCTACAGATTGGTTTGGGTCTCCCCACCCCACTTGTTCTCAACAATGTGGTTTGTTTGTTTGCTTTGAGTCTCCTGATGCCTCTTAGCAGATCCTGTAGACACCTCATAATCAGACTGGCTGGTGTGCTGCTTCCAGTGGTCTTGTTGCTTCTCTGCTAGATGGCTGCTTTTTCAGCTTCAAGCCTTAAAGGCCCCAGATACTATATCTTTTGATAGTGGGGCACCATCTGCTTTCTCCACCACATTTGCTTGTTAGACTGTTTCTTTTTCTGCCTTACTTATTTGAAATTCTAACTCCTGACCTAAAAAAATGCATTACAATGCATATCAGACTGCCTTAAGATGGGCAATAGCTATCCATTTCAAAGTCTTAAATGGACACCATCATTTTGGAGCTATCTTGTCCTGGATATGTTTTTTTTTCTTTCATGTACTTGTTCAGTTGTAAATTTGTGTCCTGTTATGATTTAACCTGTTATGATTAGGGCTAAAGTTTTTGTCTCGTGTGATCACTTAGAATCGTTTAGACATTGATGTGTTTTATTTCAGTCAACAAATCCACAGGTATATGGCATTGGGAAGAAAACCACAATAAAACGAATATACAAATACACGTAAATGACATCCCTGACAGGTCTTACAGTGTTATATTAGCTGAAAATAGGGTTAGTAAAGGAGCTGAAAATACATGGTCAGTAATGGCTTTCCTGTTATCTGGCAGTTAACTAGGCAGTAAAGGAAGTAGAGACCAAGGTTCTGCAGTGAGAAAGAATAAGAAACTCAAATGGAACCCTATTCTAGTGTAATGCAATGTCTTATGAGTTGTGTGTAATTGATGATGTCAAATGAAAGGCCTCATAATTAGCTGCATTGTAAACCTAATTTTAATATTACCACTTTCAACGTCATGAACCTTATCTAAATAACACCTCTTATAGAGAAGATGTTGCTCACTTTGGAAAGTACTTTTAACTTTTGTAGTCTCTTATGCTGTCCTCCTTGTTGCTGAATTGTGTAATTTTACATAAATTATTACCATTGAATCTTTTAATAACCATGCATTAGTATTGTTAGTGCGACTGAATCTATTTTCAAAATATCTTATGATGGAGTAGAATGACTGCAGTGGTTTTCTTGCCTTTAACCTTTGTAGGAAGAGTGAACCTGTGGTGGTACAGTGGTTAAGCATTTAGCAGCTGAGCTTGGTGTTTAAGCATCAGCAGCTCCGTGGGTGAGAGATGATCTGCTACCATTCGATTACAGCCTAGGAAGCCCTATGAGGCGATTTTATCCTGTCTTAGGGGAGTTTTTGGAAACTGAACTAGATCTCTCTCAAAGAGTGACCGGGTGACTTCTGGTAGCCTTTTTGTTCTCATCCAAGTGCTTAACTGTTGTACTACCAGGACTCTTAATGACCATATATGGTAGGACTGATGACTCACATTTTATAGATGAGGAAAACGAGATCTAGAGAAGGTGCCCAGATTAATAGAGCTATAGATAATGGAGCTAGTGATTAAATCTACTTTGTTTTTGACTTGTTCATTCAAGTTTGGCAGTAGTACTCATAAAATATTTGTTTAGATCTGAGCATTATTCTAGATTAGGAATAGAATGGATTATTATGCCATTGAATTTTTTACTAACCATATGTTGTTGTTAGGTTCCCTCCAGTGGATTTTTGACACAGCCTGCCAGGGAACTGGATTTGTTATATTCCGTATTAGAGGAGGCACTGTAAATCACATGCATATAGTCTAAAGCAACTTTTTGATCACTGTGGTGTCATAGTTCAAATTTATTGAGATATCTTCCTTAATTTCTACAGAAATTGTTTATTTTGATAAGATGCCCTAATATATAAATTAATCAAAGTATTGGAACACAATTTTAGAAACACCAGTACTTGTGATAGATGGGAAGAAACATTGCTTTTAGGAGTCAGGAAAACTGGGCATTATCTCTCTCATCAACTCCCCGACTGCATTTCTAGGGGTTGTACCTTTCTTTATTCAGTGAGGGGATTAAACTAGATTAAGCATCAGATCAATCAGATTTTGTAATTCTGAGTCTATATTATAACTGATTTTAACAGGATAAAAAATGAAAAACATAAGATGCAAGTAAAGCTTGATTTTGCTTTTCAGTGCTGCGTAAGTTAACTGTTAATGGATTTGTGGAGCCTCATAAGAATATAGAGGTGATGGTAAGTATAGACATATATTCTTCGTGACAGTTTAAAAGTGTGATATTTTCTTGAATGCTTGTAAGTGTCTTTACTAAGGAACTTTCCTAGTATTCATGTAAAGTAATGAACTAATTTCTTAGCTGTTTTTGCTATATTATAGTGTACTTTTGGACTTCTGGTTTATTTTTGCTACATAAAATGGTGTTTTGGTAAAAGAGAGGTAAACAAACCCATATTTCTCAAGACACATTGTACGTTGAGGGCTAGCATTTTTATGAATTTGGAATCTGTTCTTAACACTATCAGGCACACAATGGATGATTTATTTTTGCTTTTATATAAAGTTAATTTATTGTGTTTTTCCTTGATCATAACATTAGTACATAGTTTTTGTAATGATTATAAGAACATATTTATATATTCAAGAGGGCAGTGCTCCATCCATAAGTTCATTACAAGTACTGTTATATATTTTGTCTCAGTATACAGCCATCTCCTCTTATCCTGGGAAACAATGGCTTTTTACCCCTCCCCTGAATACAATGAGACTGCGTACATGTACTCGCGTATTAGTTCTCGCCGTGTGTTTAGCTGGTATGTCTGTGCTTTCTTGGATTGCCTTGGAGTCCACTCAAGAGTTGATGAAGAAAGTATATTTACTGTATCTACTTGTGTATAAGCTGAGTTTTTTCAGCACATTTTTAATGCAGTTTTTGTGGTAAAATTAAGTGCCTTGGCTGATATTCAGTTCGGCTTATACTCAAGTATATGCGATAATTGCATCTTAGAGGATGTGATCAGAGCTACTGCTAGTATATTTTATGTATCAGATTTTTGGGGAAATGGGTGGTTTTCTAAGTCTTGCATGCTTATTTCTGAATTAGTTAAAAAGTAAATAAACTTGAAAAAAATTTAATATGTTCCTTGTTGTGGGTTGAGTTGATTTTGGTTCTTTAAAAACAAAAAACTCGACTCTGACCAATAGCCCTCCTATAACGACAGGGTAAAACTTCCTGGGGGCGTTTCTGAGACTCGAACTCTCTTTATGAGAGTAGAAAGCCCCATATTTTTTCTGGGAGCAGTTGTTAGTTTAGAACTGCTGATCTGGCTGTTGGTAATCCAGTGCATATCCCATTACACCACTAGGGTTCCATTTGATTCCTAGTGACTATATAAAACAAAGTAAACTGCTCCAAATAGTTTATAAGATTATAATCAATAGTAGCAGACTCCCACATCATTCTCCTGTGAAATGGCTGGAGGTTTGAAAGCTGACGTATTTTGGCTAACCAATATACCATCAGGGATGAATTTCCTAATATTCAAGAATTGATGAAGGAACAATATTTTCAAGGTGAAAGGGGAAATGGGGTATTTTATTTATTCCAATTAGTTAGCCTTTCGAGTACTTTACCATACAAATGAATATTGTATGACAAAATGGCTTGCATTTTGCTAGGAATACACAGGATATTTTTCCTGTATCTTTTATGATTTTAATGCTTAAAGATTTACCTTTTTCATATGAGTGCTTTCACATATTTATTAGTCAGCATCATAGATGAAAAACAATAAAGGGAGAAAGCTGAAGTGTTACATTATATGTTCAATTGGTCAAATAGTGGCAAAATTTTTAATTGGACGTGGTAGAGTGCAAGTGGGACTGGTGCATTATGTGTGCCATCACCTGTGCCACTCTTCGTAAACCCAGTGTGGTTTTTCTTCAATACCTTCTTCTGGAGTTACACTTGGTTTTTTTTTTACATGTTTTCTTTCAAATCCATTGAGGTATATGGAAATTCTTTTGTTTCTTGGCCAGGAATCCTTTGATCCTAAAAATCTTATCAGAAGACTTAGTGAAAATGGAAGGAACCCACATTTACGTGATGCTGGAAAAAGGGAGCCACAACACACTTATCTATTTAAAGAAGTTTATGTTTAAATTCTTACAAAATTTTAATATTTTATTTCCCTTCAGTTTTAAAAAATGGTCATTGGACTTAGAGATGAGAAATGACAAAGATTGTCTTTTTTTATATTAGGGGCAGAGTTTTTATTTGAAGTTAGTAAAGAACGTTTGCTTTCAATAATTGCTACCACATATTCATTTATTTAGTGCTTCCTGTGTTGTTCATTGGACAAAATATTGAACAGTTTCAAGAAGTAGCATATGATCAAGAATTAGCAGTACTACAGGAAGAAATCTAAGATGCACTGAAGGCATTAGTCAAAAACATGACTCCAGGAATTAACAATACCAATTGAATTGTTTCAATAAGCTAATGCCACACTAGAAGCACTGACTTGTCTATGTCAAGACGTTTGGGAGATAGTTACCTGGCTAGCTGATCAGAAGAGATTCATATTTATATCTGCTCCAAAGAAAGGCGACCCGACAGAATGTTCATATTATAGAACAACATCATTCATAGCACACGCAAGTAAACTTTTGCTGAAGATTCAGGTCAGATTCAGAAGACAACATGAAACAAAGGATATCATTGTAACATTAGTTGGATCTTTTCTGAAGGCAGAGAATAATCCTAGAAAGATGTTTACTTGTGTTTTATTGACCATGCCAAGGCATTTGATTGTGTGGATTATAGCAGATTACAAATAGCCCAGAGGAGAATAGGAATTCTGTTCCATTTTCCTGCCTATGAATTCTTTGGTTTTTTCCCTTTAATTGTGCCAATGCAGAAATTGTCCTTCGATTAAGAGATTGCATGGTTTAAAGTCTAGAAAGGTGTGCCTCAAGGTTCTATCTGCTCACCGCATTTACTCAGTTTGTGTGCTGTGCAATAATGGACACGGCATCGGAGTTGGAGGAAGACCCAACAACCTCTGATGTTCAAATGGCCAAACATTTGCTAAACGTGGGGAGATCCCGAAACACTTGCTGGTGAAAATCAAGAATTGTAACTTTCAGTATAAATTACACCTGGACCAATAGGGAACATTATGATAAAAGGAGAAAAGATTGAAGTTGTCAAGGATTTTGTCTTGGTTGGCTCCACAATCAGTGTTCATGGAAGCAGCACTCAAGAGATCAAAGGACACATTGTACTGGGTAAATCTGCACAAGACTTCTTTAAAGTGTTGAAAGGATGTTACTCCGAGGACTAAGGTATACCTGACCCAAGCCATACTATTTTCAATCGAGGCGCCTCATGTGTATGTGAAAGTTGGATGCCGAATAAGGAAGACTGAAGAACAAATGTATTTGAATTGTGGTGCTGATAAGAATATTGAAGGTACCAACAAAACAAACAAATCTATCTTGGAAGAAGTACAGCTAGACTTCTTTTTAGAAGCAAGAATAGTGAGAGTTCGTCTTACTTTACTTGGGCATGTTCTCAGAACAGAACCCCTGGAAAAGGACATCATACTTGGTAGAGAGGGAACGAAAAAGAGGAGGACCCTTGACAAGATGGCTTGACATGGTGGCTGTGCAACAGTGGGTTCACACGGAAGAGTAGTTGTCAAGGTGCAATGTTTCATTCTGTTGGACATTGGGTTGCTATGAGTCAGAACCAACCTGACTGCTCCTAACAACAACAATCATTTATTTAGTGAGTTATGGAGCATTTGATATCGCCAAATGCTCTTCCTGGATTCTGGGATGTGACAAGGGGCAGAGCAAAGTTCTGCATCTCCAGGAGCTCATATTTTAGTGCGAGGAGACAAACAATAAAGACAAGTAGAAGGAGGTTGTAAGGTTTGAAGAAGAAGCAGGTAAGGACAATAGAGAAGATTTAGTGAAGCAATGCGTAATAAGTGAATTTTTATTAATTACACAGTGATTTAGGTAACTGAGTCAATGAAGAGATGAAATACTACAGTTATTGTGGAAGATTTGCTTGTAATAGTGATATATGTAAACTTCTCTCATTTTAACTTCTCTCAGCTTATTTATGATGAAGTATTTTAATTTGTCTGCAAAAACATAATGTTGATGACAAATTGAGGCACTTTAAAAATACTCTTTTCTAGGGCTTTTTACATGGAATATTTGATCGTCTAAAACAATTTCTGGATTGCAGTAAGTACTTCCTGACATCACTTCTTATTGTAGAATGCTTTTTCAAGATAGCTTTTACTTTGCAGGTTTAAAGATAGTGTTTTGACCAAGTGTCCTATTTGTTGTTGACATAGTTTTGGGCTGTTAATGACTGAAAAGATGTTCAATATATATAGGTATGTGTCACTTACCTATTTGGGTAACATCTGACTGCATATATTTCATGGTCCCATGAATATTCTAAAAAATTACTAGCCTGTTTTACTATTTCACCTAATGGTTTTATAAACTTCAGTCCCCCAGAGTAAATGAGCACTGGGGCTCCACAGCCTATCCTAATCCCAGCAGTGTCTCCTCCTGGCATCATTTACCCAACCAGCAGTTTCACAGCCTCACATTTGGTGCAGGGCAGTGCCAGCCATCACTCCTCTCTGTGGTCCTGATGGTACTGGTGGGCTTCCTGCTTCAGGTATGCCCAGGGAGTGGGAACACCAAAAGGACTATGAGACTGGAACGTCCCTATCAGCTACATTCCTGGCACCTAAACTTGCACAAGGTTCTAGTTCAGTTACTCGTGCAGCCTGCACCCCGCCCAGATGCAGCTTTTGGGCTAGGTCTGGCAGATTCCCATAAGGTTTTCATATAGCAGGGTTTATGAGGAATCAACTATGGATTGTACAGGAACTCCCTTTATATGAGGGGGCTTTACATGGCTTGTGGAAAGTTACCTATCTTTTAATACTGTTTTTCTGTGAAGTTTTTGAAGCCTCTTATGATGTGGTATTTGCACAATATTCAAATCACCTAATGCCTTATTTCACAGAACATATTGTGAATGTACCAAACCCTCTTTGAGTGCAAACACACAGTTGATACTATTTAGCTTTGTAGACGGTTTCTTT